TATAGTGGGCCAACCAATTAAAACAACCTACTCTGGTTAGGCGGGTCCAAACTACATAGTAAATTGTGATTTTTTATTTGTATTATCTCGTGCTTTTAGTTGAATAAAAATATGAAATATGAAAAAACGATCGTTTTTTTCCGAAAACAAAACGATCGTTTTTGAAAACGAAACAAAAACGATCGTTTAACGATCGTTTACAAAAACGATTAACAACCCTACTCATAACGCTATAATTTTGGAACGATGTGTACAAAAACTTTACAGCGCAATGGATACCGAAGTCATAGTGTTATGAATATTTAAAAGAAATTTCAAGCAAACGTAATTTTACAAGTAATCAAATAATCATTTTGGTCTATATTTTTTTTTATCTACTTTGGAAACCGAACATATTTTAATTCTTAATTATTTAGAATGAATGCAGCTCTGAGAGCAAAACTTATGGACCCAATGGTTTTAAACCTGGAGGGGAACAAGAAAGAAAAGGTTAACAAGGATGAGAAGAAAGAGAAGAAAGAAAAATTGAAGAAGATGACAAAGAGAGAAGCAGTCGAGGAGAAAGATGAAGAGAATGAAGAAGATGAAGTAGATGTTGACAGAAAAGGAAACCCCGCAGGAGAGAAGAAAAAGGGAGGAAATAAGAAAAAAGGAAACAAGAAAAATAAAAACAAGAAAAAAGGAAACAAAAAAAAGGAAACGGAAAAGGCAAAGAAAAGGAAAAAGAAGAAAAGGGTAAGAAGGGAAAACTGTCAGATGAAGAAAAGGCGGCAAAGAAAGTAGAAAGAGATAAAGCAAAGGGGGAAAGACAGAGGGCAAAGGCGGCTAAAAAAGATATGAAGGAAGGCAAGATGATGAAACCAAAGGGAAAGGGAGAAAGAAAAACCAAAAAGATGAACCAGGAAGAGCATACAGAGCAAAGAAGCTATCACCATAACAAAAAAGTAATTTTTCCCTTCAACATCCAGATAGTCATATTCATATTCATCCAAAAAGTCATATTCATATTCATCCAGATAGTCAAATTCATATTCATCCAAAAAGTCATATTCATATTCATCCATATAGTCATATTCATACACTAGGTCATTATTAAATTGTCATGATTTGTTGGTAAGGGTGCATTAACTTTCAGGCTGAAGGAAAGAAAATGGGAGGACCTCATCGTAAAAGCGGAAAGGCTGAGACTCACAAGAACGGAAAGGGAAAGAAGGAGTCAAAACAAGGAAAAATGAAGAACAAGGATGTTGAAAAAATTGTCGGAACTCTTACTGGAATAGCTTCACTAAGGTCAGATTTATAATATTCTATAAGAAAATTCTTAATTCTAATTTTAAGATAAATTCTTTTTATTTAACCAGAGGACATCTGTAGATAAATCCATACCAACATAAATCCATATTTAGGAGAGAAGAACAAGTTGAAATCTTCAGCGCTGACAATCATAAAATGATCCAATCTACTTTCACCGTTGGACCCCTTACTCTTGATGTTACCAAAACGGTAAGACAGATAAAAATAAATTTTTATTTTTATTTAAAAGAAACTTTGAAAGTATTATCATAACGAAGAGCCTTTAAACACTTTAATTTTCTAGAGTGGACGAGGACAAGAGAGAAGTGAAAAATCCGCTAACGCCAAAACAGCTATCTTGAAGAGAAAAATGAAGATTAAGGTACGCTAAAGTTTACAATTAAATAATGTAAAAATGTAAAACCAGAAAACCATGGAATAGAAAGTATAGCAATTCTGTGAAATGGGTCTGTTTACACTGCACTATTGATGTATCTCATATTAATCGGACTTTTTAAAGGTATAACTTAATTCTAAAAGTCTCTCCTATATCAGAGTTATCTGGTGGTTATCATTATATAATTCTTAAAAAGAAGTTTTAGTTAACTTACCATTTAAACTTAAATTCTTGATCATATTACTTGATGCAGGTCAAGGCAGATGGGTCAGCTCACGTAAAATCTGTCGTCTTCGAAAAACCCGACCAGGTATAAATCCATAAAAATATGTTTTTTAAGTTGACGTTTTAGTTGTTAAATATGTATTCTTGTTAAAGATTGAGGTAGCTGGCAACTTGGGAAACCAGAAGCGCTCAGACAACATCCTGAAGCAGTCTGTGAGGTCAATGCGCTCTGTTGCCGCGCAACATGTCAACTTTAAAGGACGCAAATTAAAAATAAGCAAACATAAAGGAAATAAAGACAAAGAAAGAAGGGAGGAAACGAAAAAAGATTAAAGGAAACAAAAATAAATAGCGGGATTTGTCCTTAAGTCTGGTGCCACAATTCCCCAGTAATTCTTGAAACACAAATCTGTGATTACTGAACTATTTGTTGTAGTGCACTGTAAAATTATTTACATAATTTATATCACATTTATTTGAACATCGCTTTTGTTAATAAAATTTAAAAACAAGACTTTCAACTTTATTATAAACACAAGATGGATGTCGAAGTCTGACATGGGATCCATCTTTCACATAAAAATCAATGAAATATTCTGATCATTGGAAATTATTATGTAAACTATCAAAAGTGTTCAAAATTCAATGCTTTTATCCTCCATGGAAACTAAACGAACACTTATGCATCTATTCTTGTTTAAAAATTCCGCCCAGAGAGAACTGGTTTCAATATGACGCAGCGTATACGCAACTGCATTAAATTTCCTTGCACTATTACCTTGGCCTTACCTTACCTTGATATTTATTTTCTAAACTAAATCTTTTTTTTACAAATCAATCTTCAGACATTTGAGAGTAACCATATATTTGCAGCTTTTTAGCTTTTTCTTGTTAATATTGACGATTTTATTTAGTTTTTTAGGATTCACTTTGCTCTTTGATTTAGACATCTTTGAACTATTTCATCCAGAAACTATTTCAAATAGTTTATCTTTCAAAACATTTATTTCTCAGACAAGATACGGAAACATGTCAGACAGACGATAAATTGTGGAATTTTATTGAAATTTAAAATAAATGCATGAGAATCTAATATTGTATTCTGTATAGTATCCGTATTAACGGACCCCCGAGGTTTAGTGTTTTAAAAAAATGTTACTTTTATCCCGCATGTTTAATATTTGCAGTTTACACAAAATTTAAACCATAAACCGACCTTATTTACTGTGACAATACCTAGATCTTTGCTGCCTGATGTCGCAAACAATATCAAATTAAATTCTGCCCCTATTAGATTGCAAAGATATAGCAATTAGAAAATTAGAGTTTGTTCAGGGTGATCAGTTCCTTTCTAAATTCTAAGCCATAGCTTTAAAATTAGGAGAATTTCTATGCAAAATATATCTACCTATACTATATACATCTACATAATCGTCAAAGTATGAATATAGATATTATCTAATATTTTTTTACCACCAGGCAACCTTAACACCTCTAGTCAGAAAAAATATAATTTATGAAACGCTAAAATGTAATATCCAACACCAATATACACTTTATTTAGTCAGTTACATCTTTCCTCGTGTAAATATAGACTACAGTTATCTAAATTAGATGTATATCCTGTAGATCGTAATTAAATGCCATGGTGACTGGAGACTGGAGAGGACATATCCTTGAATCAATTATTTGAATAGTATAGTTTCTTGATTAGAATCTTTTATCTTGATTAACAGAATTTAGTTTCTGGTTTTCCTAGAAACTTTGCTTAGAATCTGATTTCTGCCATTCTGCCAACCTATCCAACATCTAATTTATCATAATGGATTAACTGGTTAATGAATAAGATTCTTCACTGTTTAGTTTTGCTGCCCATATAATAAAATAAAGTGAGTCAACCAATTAGGCTAAAATTTTGATTGAGCAGCCCAGGGTCATGATTAAAACATATTGCAAAAAGGTTTTGTACGTGCAATCGTACTAATTTTAAAACAAAAATAAAATTAAAACATTATAAATTGAAGAAAATAAAAAAAAGCATTTCATTCATTTATTCAGAAAGGTTAATTTTATCAATTTAATTTTCAGTATTCTTTACATTAAAGTGAGCAAAGTGTATTATAAACCTAGATGCCAATCTTCTGAAGCTAATTTTAAAATTTATAAAAATAGAGTAGAATATATTTAATTAAGTTTTACTCATTAAATTTATAAAACTTTGTTAATTAGGATTTTTTTCCTCTTGGAAAATATGAAAAATGAAAATAAAACTTTTAAACGATCTTGGGGTAAATAACAAATTATCAAAAAAAAACTTTTTTAATAGACAAAAGATTAATCAGTTTGAATTTAAAAAAATGATATTTTTATTTTTCATGAAATGTTTTTTTAAAGAAATAAATTGAACCTTTTTATCCATAAAGTACTTCACTTGATTGATGTCTATAAAACAAATTTGAATATTTCCAGAAATCCTTTTTATAAAATATATATTCATTAATTTATTTATTTTGAGTTTTCAAATGTTTTCCAACATTTCTGAACATTTGATTTTCATGAAACTTTTTTCCGCGGATTTTAGAAAAACACCAAATGTTTAATTATTTTAATTCTCGAATTTTCAAATTCTTGAATCAATCAAACCAGGAACCAGGAACCTGGATTTTAGAAAAACACAAAATGTTTAATTATTTTAATTCTCGAACTTTCAAATTCTTGAATCAATCAAACCAGGAACCAGGAACCTGGATTTTAGAAAAACACAAAATATTTAATTATTTTAATTCTCGAACTTTCAAATTCTTGAATCAATCAAACCAGGAACCAGGAACCTGGATTTTAGAAAAACACAAAATATTTAATTATTTTAATTCTTGAATTTTCAAATTCTTGAATCAATTTTCAATGTCTTCCAACTTTTTACAACATTTTAGAACATTTACACTGCCTACACAGGTGAATAGAATATAAAGTGAAAACCAATTATTTGTGGTGAATGTCACAAACTCAAATTTTCTATATTTTCTATATTAATCATTATATTTATTTCTTCATTATTTTCAACATTAATTTACATCTTTTTTAAAGTCTCTGGGTTCTCTAAATTTGGATAACCTGGGTTTTCTAAATATTATCATCTGGATTTAAACACCAAAATAAATTTAGTCTTTGGCAAAAATTCAAATTCTCTAATCCCTATATCTTTACCACCGGATCTAGCAGAATTCACAGTTTGGAATATCTAAGGTCTACGATGCTGGGTTGCAAAGATATACGATGTGGCACAGATTCAAGTCCTTAAAAATAATTTCAGTCCAGAATTTCTTGAATCAATTTTAACTTTCAATGTCTTCCGAATTTTTACTATATCATTTCAGAATAACTACACAGTATAATTAAACAGTAAATTACGTAAAAACTATATGGAGTCAATGTTATTAAAAATACGAAGATCTCTTTCCCCCTGCAGGTTTAACAGCTTGGCACGATTATATTACGAATCGTAAATTTGTTCAGAACTCTAGTAAAGATGTTAGTGTGTTCAGAACTCTAGTAAAGATGTTGGTGTGTTCAGAAATCTAGTAAAGATGTTAGTGTGTTTAGAACTCTAGTAAAGATGTTGGTGTGTTCAGAACTCTAGTAAAGATGTTAGTGTGTTTACAACTCTAGTAAAGATGTTGGTGTGTTCAGAACTCTAGTAAAGATCTTAGTGTGTTTAGAACTCTAGTAAAGATGTTAGTGTGTTTAGAACTCTAGTAAAGATGTTAGTGTGTTTAGAACTCTAGTAAAGATGTTAGTGTGTTCAGAACTCTAGTAAAGATGTTAGTGTGTTCAGAACTCTAGTAAAGATGTTAGTAAAGATGTTAGTGTGTTCAGAACTCTAGTAAAGATATTAGTGTGTTCAGAACTCTAGTAAAGATGTTAGTGTCTTTAGAACTCTAGTAAAGATGTTATGTTCAGAACTCTAGTAAAGATGTTAGTAAAGATGTTAGTGTGTTCAGAACTCTAGTAAAGATCTTAGTGTGTTCAGAACTCTAGTAAAGATGTTGGTGTGTTAAGAACTATAGTAAAGATGTTAGTGTGTTCAGAACTCTAGTAAAGATGTTGGAGTGTTTAGAACTCTAGTTGTGTAAAGATGCTGATTCTGCAGAATTCTCTGAGATCACTGTATTTTATCTAGCTTACCAGAAAAACTTTGTGACAAAAAAGAAATATTTCTGGTTTTAAAGCTTTTTAATCATATATTCACAAAAAAGGGGCTAAAGTGTTTTTATAACTGAGACAGAATTTTTAGTTAAGATAAACAGCTAGATAAACTAAGATAAACAGGTTAAAGGGGTGTAACCAGCTAGATGAACTAAGATAAACAGTTTTAACGGCTGTAAACAGCTAGATAAACTGAGATAACCAGTTTAAAGGGGTGTAAACAGCTAGATAAACTAAGATAAACAGTTTAAAGGGGCGTAAACAGCTAAATGAACTAAGATAAACAGTTTTAACGGGTGTAAACAGCTAGATAAACTAAGATAACCAGTTTAAAGGGGTGTAAACAGCTAGATAAACTAAGATAAACAGTTTTAACGGGTGTAAACAGCTAGATAAACTGAGATAACCAGTTTAAAGGGGTGTAAACAGCTAGATGAACTAAGATAAACAGTTTTAACGGGTGTAAACGGCTAGATAAACTAAGATAAACAGTTTAAAGGGTGGTAAACAGCTAGATAAACTAAGATAAACAGTTTAAAGGGGTGTAAACAGCTAGATAAACTAAGATAATCAGTTTAAAGGGGAGTAAACAGCTAGATAAACTAAGATAAACATATTAAAGGGGCGTACACAGCTAGATGCCCGATTCACAACAGTACCCCTGAAACCTTCATCTAAAAAAATAATGGAGATATCCTTGTGTTTCCATCCTAAAAATTGTTACATTTTCAATTCTGGTTTTCTTTTGAACTTGCAGTTATCTGCAACAGAAAAAGTAAGAATTTAGTTGTTTTAAAGATAGAACATGATATTTTTCATTGTTCTTCGGATAAAGGTTTAAAGGGGAACCTTAATATGAATCAAGCATACTATTCTCTAAAAGGGACATTTAAACTGGCGTCTCCAGTCCCTGTGTAGGTTAAAGACGTATGGATTGTGCAGTTTAAAGTATAAGATAAGGTAGTGTGTAGAGTATATTTGTATGCTAATGTTCAGTGCTTGGTATTCTAAATACCTTCACATAACCATAATTCAACTCAGAAACTAAATAAAATTTAACCATATAACTAGATCTTATAACATGTTTAATCATATTATATTACACTAAAACCTTTTTTAAATTTAACAAACTTTATAATTTTTTATCCGTTTTTTCAAATCAAGAGATATTTTTGTTATATTAAACAATTTTAACTTTTAAAATTTCTAACGTTGTTAAGTGGCATGTTTAACGTCAAAATAAAGTAAATTTCACGTAAGATTTAAATCTTGTAAGTTTTCGATTATAACTACTCTTAGGGAACAGAT